TGACCAGTAACTCCACCTTCCTCTACACTACAGTATACAGTGACCAGTAACTCCACCTTCCTCTACTACAGTATACAGTGACCAGTAACTCTACCTTCCTCTACACTACAGTATACAGTAACTCCACCTTCCTCTACACTACAGTATACAGTAACCAGTAACTCCACCTTCCTCTACACCACAGTATACAGTGACCAGTAACTCTACCTTCCTCTACACTACAGTATACAGTGACCAGTAACTCCACCTTCCTCTACACTACAGCATACAGACCAGTAACTCTAACTTCCTCTACACTACAGTATACAGTGACCAGTAACTCTACCTTCCCCCAAAAACAACCACCCCACACAAACAACCACCCCAACACCCCCACACTACAGTATACAGTGACCAGTAACCTACCTTCCTCTACACAACAACCAACAACAACAAACACCCCCAAAAACCATAACCACCTTCCTAGTAAGAACCAACAGATCAGTACCAGTAATCACCTCCACACATAATGACCATAATCCTCAACAATACATCAACCTCCCCTCTACACTACAGTATACAGTGACCAGTAACTCTACCTTCCTCTACACTACAGTATACAGAGACCAGTAACTCTACCTTCCTCTACACTACAGTATACAGTGACCAGTAACTCTACCTTCCTCTACACTACAGTATACAGTGACCAGTAACTCTACCTTCTTCTACACTACAGTATACAGTGACCAGTAACTCTACCTTCTTCTACACTACAGTATACAGTGACCAGTAACTCCACCTTCCTCTACACTACAGTATACAGTAACCAGTAACTCCACCTTCCTCTACACTACAGTATACAGTGTCCAGTAACTCTACCTTCCTCTACACTACAGTATACAGTGACCAGTAGCTCTACCTTCCTCTACACTACAGTATACAGTGACCAGTAACTCCACCTTCCTCTACACTACAGTATACAGTGACCAGTAACTCTACCTTCCTCTACACTACAGCATACAGTGACCAGTAACTCTACCTTCCTCTACACTACAGTATACAGTGACCAGTAACTCCACCTTCCTCTACACTACAGTATACAGTGACCAGTAACTCCACCTTCCTCTACACTACAGTATACAGTGACCAGTAACTCTACCTTCCTCTACACTACAGTATACAGTGACCAGTAACTCTACCTTCCTCTACACTACAGAATACAGTGACCAGTAACTCCACCTTCCTCTACACTACAGAATACAGTGACCAGTAACTCCACCTTCCTCTACACTACTGTATACAGTGACCAGTAACTCTACCTTCCTCTACACTACAGTATACAGTGACCAGTAACTCCACCTTCCTCTACACTACAGAATACAGTGACCAGTAACTCCACCTTCCTCTACACTACAGAATACAGTGACCAGTAACTATACCTTCCTCTACACTACAGTATACAGTGATCAGTAACTCTACCTTCCTCTACACTACAGTATACAGTGACCAGTAACTCTACCTTTCTCTACACTACAGTATACAGTGACCAGTAACTCTACCTTCCTCTACACTACAGTATACAGTGACCAGTAACTCTACCTTTCTCTACACTACAGTATACAGTGACCAGTAACTCCACCTTCCTCTACACTACAGTATACAGTCACCAGTAACTCTACCTTCCTCTACACTACAGTATACAGTCACCAGTAACTCTACCTTCCTCTACACTACAGTATACAGTGACCAGTAATTCTACCTTCCTCTACACTACAGTATACAGTGACCAGTAACTCTACCTTCCTCTACACTACAGTATACAGTGACCAGTAACTCTACCTTCCTCTACACTACAGTATGCAGTGACCAGTAACTCTACCTTCCTCTACACTACAGTATGCAGTGACCAGTAACTCTACCTTCCTCTACACTACAGTATGCAGTGACCAGTAACTCTACCTTCCTCTACACTACAGTATACAGTGACCAGTACCTCTACCTTCCTCTACACTACAGTATACAGTGACCAGTAACTCTACCTTCCTCTACACTACAGTATACAGTGACCAGTACCTCTACCTTCCTCTACACTACAGTATACAGTGACCAGTAACTCCACCTTCCTCTACACTACAGTATACAGTGACCAGTAACTCTACCTTCCTCTACACTACAGTATACAGTGACCAGTAACTACCTTCCTCACACTACAGTATACAGTGACCAGTAACTCTACCTTCACCTCACACTATAGTATACAGTGACCAACTTTTTCCCCTTCCTCCCCACGCCACGGTATACAGTGACCAATGCTCCACCTTCCTCTACCTACAGTATCACAGTGACAGTAACTCCACCTTCACTCTACACTACAGTAGCCATTGACCAATGCTCACCTTTCTCTACACTACAGTATGTGACCAGTAACTCCACCTTTCTCCTGCACTACAGTATACAGTGACCAGTAACTCCACCTTCCTCTACACTACAGTATACAGTGACCAGTAACTCCACCTTCCTCTACACTACAGTATACAGTGACCAGTAACTCTACCTTCCTCTACACTACAGTATGCAGTGACCAGTAACTCTACCTTCCTCTACACTACAGTATACAGTGACCAGTAACTCTACCTTCCTCGACACTACAGTATACAGTGACCAGTAACTCCACCTTCCTCTACACTACAGTATACAGTGACCAGTAACTCCACCTACCTCTACACTACAGTATACAGTGACCAGTAACTCTGCCTTCCTCTACACTACAGTTTACAGTGACCAGTAACTCTACCTTCCTCTACACTACAGTATACAGTGACCAGTAACTCTACCTTCCTCTACACTACAGTATACAGTGACCAGTAACTCTACCTTCCTCTACACTACAGTATACAGAAACCAGTAACTCCACCTTCCTCTACACTACAGTATACAGTGACCAGTAACTCTACCTTCCTCTACACTACAGTATACAGTGACCAGTAACTCCACCTTCCTCTACACTACAGTATACAGTGACCAGTACCTCTATTCCTCTACACTACAGTATACGTGTGACCAATGCTCCACAGCTTTCTCTACCTACAGTATACAGTGACCAATAACTCCACCTTCCTCTACTACAGTATACAGTATTGTGCTCCTTCCTCTACATTCCATTTCCTGATGACCCATTGCTCCTTCCTCTACACTACAGTATACAGTGACCAGTAACTCCACCTTCCTCTACACTACAGTATACAGTGACCAGTAACTCCACCTTCCTCTACACTACAGTATACAGTGACCAGTAGCACTAAGGATGGTTGAGTGTGATAAAGTTTGGCTGGTGGAGGAGTTTACTTAGAGGTTTTCTTGATGGTTCCTCCTCTGTACATTACTGGTGAAGGTCTTGGTAGGAAATATGGCAATGTAAGTGTACAATGTTAGACCAGAAATATGTGGTGGAATAGTTTAGGTGCGGTAGGCTAGGTTTGGTGTGGTAGGTTAGGTTAGGTGTGGTAGGTTAGGTTAGGTGTGGTAGATTAGGTGTGGTAGGTTAGGTTAGGTGTGGTAGGTTAGGTTAGGTGTGGTAGGTTAGGTTTGGTGTGGTACGCTAGGTTAGGTGTGGTAGGTTAGGTTTGGTGTGGTAGGTTAAATGTGGTGGGTTAGGTTAGCTTAGGTGTGGTGGGTTATTTTCGGTGTGGTAGGTTAGGTTAAGTGTGGTGGGTTAGGTTTTTTTTTTTTTTTTTACGGTATTAGCCCACCCGGGCACAGGTCACTGACCCACATCGGGGCCTGGAGGGCGAAAATGTAATAATTATTTATCATAAATAAAATTTATAATAAAAAGTACAATAAAATAATAATAACAATAATAATAATAATAACACTGTAATAATAATAATACAGAATGATAAAAAAATTCAAAAATGAAAAAAAAATCAATAGTTAGAAATGCTATATGTAGGCTATGTTGTGTTGTCAAGTAAGAGAAACAATTGAGACCCTACAATTGTGTGTAAACGAGGCAGAAAGTCAGATCAGCAACCTGGGAGTTGGTCACATATGGCAGCAGGGTCTACCATTAGACAACACATTATGCTTCCAATATCTTCCCAGGCAGTAGTCCCTCCCTGTTTGGTAGCTGCCTACTACCTCCAAGTGTGGTGGGTTAGGTTAAATGTGGTAGGTTAGGTTAAGTGTGGTGGGTTAGGGTAGTTATATATTATTGTTGTTAAGATATACAGTAGTAGTGTACTAGGGAGAGCGAGTGAATGAATCATGGAACAGAGAGGACTGTGTTGTGTGAGCTAAAGAAGAGATTATCTTTAAGTTAATAATGTTCCTTTTTCTATACTTGTTTATTTTAGGTAACAGAGATAGTGGAGTGTCTGCGAAGACAAGGCCTAATGTGTATTAAACCTGAGAGTGATAACCACAACTCGGCATCTTCCATTAAACTCGAGAATGGTATGTTTTTAGTATTTATACATTACTGTAGAGTATACTATACTGTATAAACATCTTCTGTAGCCTGTTAGCTCTTACCAGCTGGGACACCAGCAGCAGTCAGTACTTCTATGAAGGCACTGTGATATGTCTAACAATAAGTCAGTGTTTTATTGAAGTCTACACAACACCCACCACACTTTGACTTAAACAGACAATTTAGCTTTAGGAAGCTTTATATATATGTTCAGAGATTTGTCTACCCGGTCACAGGTCACTGACCCTCATCGGGGTCTGGGAGGGGATATGAGTACAGTACATTACTTGAAAGGCTTAATATAATGATACAAATGAATTGTGAGATACCCCAAAAAAAAATTATTTTATATTAAAATGAGTGACTGGTAAGTCCTCTCCCTCTGGGCTTCTCCTCCAAAAAACTAGTCTCAATTATACAGATGAGCTTCATTTTGCTTGGCCTTTGGTGAATTAATGTGTTTGTTTCACATTACAGAAGGTAAGAGCCACCAGCAGTGTTGTGTAGAGTGTACAGCAACAACTTGTTCACTGGAGGAGCTGCTCAGTAATGACCATGTGCTCACTGTTAGTACACTTGGTAAAGCTGCCATCAAAGGTCCATAAGTATAGTAGTTTGTCATATTTTAATGTACAGTACATTACATATATATAACAGTGTACAGTAATAGGCACAGGGCTGCTCACGTTAGACAGCTTTCTGCTTATTCACTTCTGTTTACTTGAACAACTTTCTGTTAAGTTTTCAGGACACCCTACAACACGGCCCCCAAACATGACACCATACAACACCGCCCAACATGACACCATACAACACCGCCCCCAAACATGACACCATACAACACCGCCCCCAAACATGACACCATACCACATGGCCCCCAAACATGACACCATACCACATGGCCCCCAAACATGACACCATACCACATGGCCCCCAAACATGACACCAAACAACACGGCCCCAAACATGACACCAAACAACACGGCCCCAAACATGACACCAAACAACACGGCCCCAAACATGACACCATACAACACCGCCCCAAACAACACATACAACACCGCCTAAACATGACACCATACAACACCGCCCCAAAACATGGCACCATACAACACTGCCCCCCAAACATGACACCATACAACACGGCCCCAAACTGACACAAACATGACACTCATACAACACGGCCCCCAAACATGACACCATACAACACCCCCAAACATGGCACCATACAACACGCCCCCAAACATGACACCATACAACACGGCCCCAAAACATGACACCATACAACACGCTTCAAACATGACACCATACAACACCGCCCCCAAACATGACACCATACAACACGCCCCCAAACATGACACCATACAACACACATACAACACCGCCCCAAACATGACACCATACAACACCGCCTAAACATGACACCATACAACACAAACATGCACCATACAACACCGCCCCAAACATGACCCCATACAACACTGCCCCCAAACATGGCACCATACAACACCACCCCAAACATGACACCATACAACACCGCCTAAACATGACACCATACAACACCGCCCCAAAACATGACACCAAACAACACGCCCCAAACATGACACCATACAACACGCCCCCAAACATGAGACCATACAACACCGCCTCTAAACATGACCCCATACAACACCGCTCTCAAACATGACACCATACAACACCGCCCCAAACATGACCCCATACAACACCGCCTCAAACATGACACCATACAACACCGCCCCCAAACATGACACCATACAACACGCCCCAAACATGACACCATAACACCGCCCCCAAACATGACCCCATACAACACCCCTAAACATGACACCATACAACACGCCCCCAAACATGACACCATATAACACTCAAACATGACACCATACAACACGCCCCAAACATGACACTATACAACACCGCCTAAACATGACACCATACAACACCCCTCTAAACATGACACCATACAACACCGCCTAAACATGACATCATACAACAAACACGCCCCCAAACATGACACCATACAACACCTCTAAACATGACAATTCAAACATACACACCAAACAACACCCCTAAACATGACACACCATACACAACATGCCCCCAAACATGACACCATACCACATGGCTCAAACATGACACCATACACAACACGGCCCCAAACATGACACTACAACATCCCTAAACATGACACCATACCACATTTCTAAACACACTCATACCACATTTCCCAAACATGACACCATACAACACCGCCCAAACATGACACCATACAACATGGCCCCCCAAACATGACACACCATACAACACCGCCCCCAAACATGACACCAATCAACACGGCCCCCAAACATCACACATACCACAATACCACACATGGCCCCCAAACATGACACACCATACAACAACGGCCCAAACATGACACCATACGACATTTCTGAAACATGACACCATACAACACCGCCCCCAAACATGACACCATACAACATGGCCCCCAAACATGACACCATACAACACTGCCCCCAAACATGGCACCATACAACACCGCCCCAAACATGGGCACCATACAACACCGGCCCCAAACATGGCACCATACAACACTGCCCCAAACATGACACCATACAACACTGCCCCCAAACATCGCACCATACAACACTGCCCCCAAACATGGCACCATACAACACGGCCCCCAAACATGGCACCATACACATACATGGCTAGCACCATACCACACGGCCCCCAAACATGGCACCATACAACACGGCCCCCAAACATGGCACCATACAACACGGCCCCCAAACATAGACACCATACAACACGGCCCCCAAACATGACACCATACTACATGGCCCCAAACATAGCACCATACCACACCGCCTCAAACATGGCAACCATACAACACGGCCCCCAAACATGACACACCATACTTACATGGCACCATACCACACGGCTCCCCAAACATGGCACCATACAATGCAGCACCATACAACACCGGCCTCAAACATGGCACCATACCACACGGCCCCCCAAACATGACACCATACAACACCGCCCCAAACATGGCACCATACAACACCGCTTCCAAACATGGCACCATACAACACCGCCTAAACATGGCACCATACAACACTGCCCCCAAACATGACACCATACAACACTGCCCCCAAACATCGCACCATACAACACTGCCCCCAAACATGGCACCATACAACACGGCCCCCAAACATGCACACCATACCACATGGCTCCCCCAAACATGGCACCATACCACACGGCCCCCAAACATGGCACCATACACACGGCCCCCAAACATGGGCCCCAAACATGACACCACAACACGGCCCCAAACATGACACACCATACTACATGGCCCCCAAACATAGCACCATACCACACCGCCTCAAACATGGCACTATACAACACGGCCCCCAAACATGACACCATACTACATGGCACCATACCACACGGCCCCCAAACATGGCACCATACAATGCAGCACCATACAACACCGCCTCAAACATGGCACCATACCACACGGCCCCCAAACATGATACCATACCACATGGCCCCAAACATGACACCATACCACACGGCCCCCAAACATGATACCATACCACATGACACCAACCACACGGATACCATACCCCCAAACATGATACCATACCACATGGCCCAAATATGACACCATACCACATGGCCTCAAACATGACACCATACCACATGGCCCCCAAACATGATACCATACCACATGACTCCTAAACGTGACACCATACCACATGGCCCTCAAGCATGGCACCATACCACATGGCCCCTAAGCATGACCATACAACACAGCACCATACCACATGGCCCCCAAACATGACGCCATACCACACGCCCCCAAACATGACACCATACAACACCGCCTCAAACATGGCACCATACCACACGGCCCCCAAACATGACACCATACCACATGGCCCCCAAACATGACACCATCATACCACACGGCCCTCAAGCATGGCACCATACAACACCGCCCCCAAACAGGAAAATCTAATACAGTGAAGTACTTGCACATTATGTAGTGCTGCACATTTTTATAACAATAAGACAAGGGTGAGGAGTAGAGTTTCTGGAAGTTTCTTCTGTCCTGGGATTCGGGGACAAAACCTGTCTGTGTCCCGGGATTTCCCGAACTTTTTTCTAGAATTTGGAAATATGAGCAATAAAAGACCAATGCAGCATGGGGTTGTAATTTAACAGCATTTATATGATAGTAGAAACAAAATTAATACCTCCTGTAAACTTCTACTTATTTTACTAGGTAATACACTAAACCCTTGCCACTCTTGGGGGTTAAGTTCCAAGAAATGGAGGGAATTGGCTAAACTTCGAATAAGAACTTGTACTACCTTCGTGCACTACTGTATACCTATACTGTGTAGGAGAAACTTAAGTCACAAAACTGTACTTACATTTGCATGTGGAAGTTTGGAGCTTGATGAAGTGGTGGCATCTGGTTACTGAAGCATAGGTGGATTATCAGGATCACTGGTGGAAGAGGGTGATGCAGTGGTGGTTGGTGGAGAGGCGTGCAACTGGGAGGTGGCGGGTGTCTGGGAGGAAGAGGAGGGTGGAGCGGCAGCAGTAGTAGCTGGTTCTTTTTTTAAAACCCTGGTGATTGATAGTTGTTTCTTCTTGGCTTTGAGGTCTGAACATTTTCTGGTCGGGAAACAATACCTGGTTGATTCCTTGGACCATCTTGAGGCTGCGTCCATGGAAGGGTCGTGGTCAACAATGAAATCATTTACCACCTTTACCTGTCGAAATAGTTCACCAAAATTGTCCAAGCTCTAACCTTCTTGTTGTAATTCCATAATGTGTTCCTCTTCCTCGGCACTTTTTACCAACTCTTCCAAATCCTCTTCTGTCAGTTCCTCTCCATGCCCATCAATCAGCTCTTCCACGTATTCAGCAGCCATGTCCACAAACCCCTCACCACCCAACTGATGTGCAACACTCACAATGTCATTCACATCCTTTACTATGGACGGAAATCACGGGAAGTTATTCACACACTCAGGCCATAAGGTGAGCCAACAAGCATTCACTGTCTCTGTTTTGAGTTCATTGAATGATTCACAGATGTTGGTAATGCAGTCCACAATGCTGTGCTCCTCCCAACACTTGCTAACATCAAGGTCAGGGTCTTTATCCATAGTACTACAGATACGACCAAAAGAACGGCTTGTATAATATGCCTTGAAGGTATGTAACACACCCTGATCGAGAGGTTGGATAGGAGCAGTGGTGTTAGGGGGTAGGGACACCACCTCTACACCTGGATGGCTAAACTGTAAACTTTCTGGGTGGCCTGGTGCATTGTTTATAAATAATAACACCTTGAATTCCATGTTCTTGGAAGCAAGGTATTTTTCCACTTCAGGGACAAAGCATTTATGGAACCAGTCCAGGAATGCTTGCACAGAGATGACGTAACCCAAGCTTTCTTATTAGACGTCCAATAACATTGAGCTGCGACTTATTGGCATGATGGTAGGCTTTAGGACAGGCAGCATGGTTAACAGCTGGGGGTTTCATAA